TCATTGTCTATTTATATCTATAATTCTCTCTCCCTTTTCTCTCTAATTTATCTTCTGTCTGTCTATCATTATCTGTCTATTTATATCTAATTCTCTCTATCATCTACTGTAGCTATCATCTATATTTATCTATCTAATCTATCATCGATCTGTCTAGCTATGTATCATTATCTATTTATCTCTCTCTCTCTCTCTCTCTCTCTCTCTCTCTCTCTCACACACACACACACACACACACACACACAGAGTTCTTGCTTAGTTGATTAGCTGGGATTGCTTCCACCCCCCCCCCCCAGGCCCAACATCCTTTGTCTGGTTCAGGTGAGATCCTCCCCCCACCACACGCACACTTTGTTCCTTAATGACTTCTTTCTTTCATCCATTTCCCTTTCATCCATTTCCCATCAGATCATTTCCCTGATCTTTTAGACAAGACTCCTTTTGTCCTTGTCTGATCTGCTCACGGGCCTGCTTCCCCTTTAATTATGACAGCTTCAACCTAATTTCTAAGCTTCCCTTTCTAAAACTGCTGAGATGGTGGCTGGAACCAAACTCACAACCTGTGTAGTTTGTCAGCAGCAGGCGGCAAAAACCACTAAATGTTTTGTGTGTGTGTGTGTGTGTGCGTGTGCCTCGGCTTTGTGGACTGGCACACCTAGCAGAGGGAAAAGGAACAATTGACAATTGGAACAATTGTAGTCCCAATGCCAATTCTGCCATTAATTTACGTTGTTTCTCAACCTTGCCAACTTTATGAGGGGAGGACTTCAACTCCCAGAATTCCCCATTGAAGTTGAAGCCCGCCCATCGTAAAACTGCCGAGGTTAAGAAACACTACTTTGTATCGTATGACAGACATCTTGACCCACTGTGGTTTCTATTAGCCGTCTTTGTGGCACGGTAAAAAGTCCTGAGAAAGTTTGCGTGCAGTGTTTATGCTCATCTGCTTGTATATATAGGAAGTCCTCGACTTACGACTACAACCGAGTCCAACATTTCTGTTGCTAAGCGAGACGTCCAAGCAGAGGTGGGGCTGCACTTTCGTTGACAAGGGGTTCGCTGGTTATCAGCATGTCCTTTGAGGTCCCCTGACCTGAGTGGTGCTCCTGGTTCCTGTAGTCTGCATTTTTCCCCTCTGGAAATCCATTCCTACTCCCACACCATTCCAAGGGAGTTCATCCCAAATTGCATAGCTAAAAGTCCGTAGAGATTCTCAGTCACTCAGTTTCATGGTTGTCCCAAAGGTGCTTTTTCAAGAGGCGATTGGACTTTCTTGTTAACAAGAACCAAGAGTACTTAGGTGATCCTGAGGACACCGATAAACCTCCAGGTGGCCTCAACGACCCTCTAAAAGGGTGCAAATGACCAGCTGCCCGCAAGGAATATAAATCCTTCCATTCCCCACTATCCAGTGGTGGGATTCAATTTTGTTTTTACTACCGGTTCTGTGGGCATGGCGTGACTTGGTGGCCGTGGCAGGGGAAGGATACTACAAAATCCCCATTCCCTCCCCACCCCACTAACCTGCTTTCCAGCTCCGTTCTCCTGTGCAGGGCAACCAAAGGAGACCCAGCCGATCAGCTGGGACTCAATGGGAGGCAGAGAATAGATGGGGGCGGGGCCAGTCAGAGGTGGGATTTGCCGGTTCTCTGAACTACTCAAAATTTCCACTACTGGTTCTCCAGAACTGGTCAGAATCTGCTGAATATCACCTCTGCCACTATCTTGTCATAACTGAAAAAGCGTCTTGGATGAGAAGCAAAAGAAAAAAAACAAGAAAATCCAGTTGCCTCCTGAAAAAGCACCATGACCTAGATGACCGAGGATTTCTACAGACTTCGCTGCTATGTGTTCTTTTAGCTTGACAAAATGATCGACCAATTGGCTAACACCAGGTTTTCCCCCTTGGCTTGTAATATTGCTGCTTTTACGTCCTAATCAGGCATTAATGGTAAATCACAGAATCTGTTCTGACCTCGGCTTCACAAAATCACGAAGCAGACTCCTTGTCCCGACAAAACCCCTTTTTATTAGGCTAATGTGTATTCCAGCAAACAGTTTTTCAAAGGTGAATTACAACCACAGACCTTATCAGGCTTGGAGAGTTGCCAGGCCTATGTCTTCTAAGCGCAACACTGTACAAGGAAATACTTGGCAAAGAGTCTCTGTGAGTCACGAACAAATCTTCACACTAATTAAATGAACTAGTTGTCTCCTGCAAACACCACTCCCTATTTATTTAGCTCCTATTTATTCCCTATGGGAGGGGTCATTCACCATCCTTTACTCCCAAGTTGACCCTTGTTTCTTAGCTGTTCCCTTCACCTGGCAGCTCTGTGCATCTGCACATCAGGAACAGGCTCCAGCTGTTCTTCTACCCCACTGATCTCCAACTCCAAAAGCAGCTGATGACTGGCCCCAATTTTGCCTCTGACACAGACTCCTTGTCAGAACCTTCCCCAGACCCTCACTGTTCGAGTCTGTGGCCAGCTCTGCTGGCTGCTGGTGGGCCACAACAGAATCACTTTAATAGCCCTTAAAATTTCCACCCATTAAATGTATCCTTCCCCCCAAAATGAACAGGAGGATAAGGGCCAAATTCAAGAATTTGCAGTCGTTCATAACTATAATAGTAGAATTGGTAAGATGTTCCATAAAAAAAACCCCAGCCCAACGGGTTAAAATTCGTATGCCAAAATAATACTTCCTTTGCAAAAACGTCATCTTAAATCTTTATTAAGTATGAAAATTTCTCCAACTTAAATTACATCCCAGTTTTAAGCTTAAAGCAAGACGGTCAATTTAGAGACAAAAACTTTATATACAAGTGGGTAGGGCTTTAGCTTTACAAATATAGTATCTTTCCAAGAGTAGATTCCTTTTAATAAGATTTAAAAACTTACAGAGGAAAAAAAAATTAAGAACATCCAAACTAAATAAAGCATTTAAAAACGAAATATATACTTTTAGAAATGCTATTCAAAATGCAAAGTTAATAACTGGAGATTCTTTGTACGAAGGGAGGAGACTTTCTAAAATGGCTTCAGACCATCTCTCGGTCTCTTCTGATAGCACAACAAAGAATCATGCTGAAGATCATGCCAAAAATCTGAAAAAGAAATAATATAATGTATTATTATATTACATACTAGCTCGACACTTGTGCTTCACTACGAAACTATGTGGTTGGGCTCAGCTTTTGGGGAGGAAAATAGGGAATTTTTTTTTGCCTCTGCCTACCAGCATCGATTCATCTGGCTAGCGTCCTGTCAGTAAGTGAGAGAGTTGAGGGCTGTTTGGACACTGAAAGAGTATTTCCTCTGTGAGCAAGAAGGAGACAGTAAGGAGCCTGGGCATGGCTTAGCTCAGCTATTCTATATTAAAGCTGCTTGGAGCTGTGAAACTAAAACTGAAACTCCTCTCCTCTGCTTCTGTTTTGCACTTGGAAGAGTTTTCTTTTCAGGTGGGGAAAGGGAGTAAACTCCTTAGCATCAGAGCGTGGTAATAATAATAATAATAATAATAATAATAATAATAATAATAATAATA